CCCCAAAACCCCAAAACCCCAAAACCCCGCAAGATATAGGTTAGGTTGAATCTTTTTGTTCTTGGTAAAATGTTTCAATTTTGGCGAACTCTTCTTCAATGGAGATGGATTTTACTTTTGGACGTTTTTGGAATGATTTGAGGGTGGCGTGGCAGGTGGAGAGGGTTTTAGTTGTGTTTTTTATCTTTTCTCTGAGTTCTGAGTGGGATTTGTACATTATGTCACGAAATTTGACTTCTTCTTCATCGTAGTCGGAGCTTTTAGGGTCTGATTTGTCCATTCTATTTATAAAATGCATTCATTTCGAAGAGTAGGGTCTCTAAGGAGTCGTAATCTTTTTGAAGTGAAGACATCCAGTTTGATCTGTGTTCCCGATAAAGAGAATATCTGTTATCAATCAAGATGATGGCTCCATAATCTTTTCTATGACGGATAACCCTACCGATAGCTTGATTTACAGCTCTTTGAGCTTGCTGGTCATACCACTGAGCACCATTTAAGTAATTATCAGATGAGTCTTTGCTTATATTGACTGCAAAATTCCTCTTCTCTTCAAGATACCGCTTATTTTCACTGAACTTTGGGATCCGTCCAGACTGCATTTGGAATACCAATGACGATGACTAGTCTGGCTGCTGTATCCGAGAAGTCCATGCCTTCTGAGACTTTGCCCTTACAGACACCCATCAGAGTTGTGTTTTCTCCTTTACTAATTTTAGTCTCAAACTGAGCTTTGATTTTTCCGAATTCTGATGCTTTCTGAGGTTCTATGAAGATGATGTGCTTCTCATTATCAGTAAGGCTGAGTTTGGTTGTCTTAAAGTGATCTATATTTGTTTTATTAGATTTACATCTTAGAGCTCCTTCTGGTTTGAACAACTGCATTTTGTTAGTCCAGAGGTCCAACATCGCCTGCATCATTTCGTATGATTTAAAGAATATGAGTGAGCCGTTTTTAGACTTGTACAGAATCTCGATGATTGTAAGCCCAAGGTCTTCGTTCATTTCGTGTAGATCCTTCGTATACTATAATTATGAGCGAAATGTTACATAAGTAAACCTGAAGGGATTCCCAGCCGTGCCTTGTGAGAGAGTTGATAGGAAGATTTGATCAGGATCTATAATTGAAAGAGTGGCTTACAAATTACATGCTTGTTTTCCAATCTCACTGGAAATTCCAATCCGAGTTCTGACTCAAGGGAGTCCAGAGGAGATAAAGTTCCTGAGGTCAGGATGATCGATCTTGGCCTGAGACTTTTTAGTTTTGTAAAAACATATTCAGGGGATAGTCACTGAAAAGTAAGTTTTACAGAGGTTTTCCAAACAATGTCGTCATATTTAGATTCTTCCTTTGTTGCTATTAATTGGAACTGGGATGTAAATAATTTAGATTTCTCTTTCTGAGCCTTTGTAGACGAAGATTGCATGTTATTGAGTAATGATAAAGTCATGTCAAATATCTGAAATAGATTAGTCAGCTCAACTTTGTTATACATGTGAATGTGAAGATCTGAAGTAACTCCTCTAATGATGTTTAGCCATTCGTAAAAGTTTCTAATGAATTACCATCAAATACTTACTTTCTACTGATGGTAGAGAGGCTTGGTTCTTCATCTATACATTTCGTCCCAGAAATATCTTTTTCTTCTTCAAACTTAATTGTGCTAGAATTATGTTTCTGGAGAGCTGTATTCAAGAACTCGATGATCTATCTAATCAATACCAAAAACTTACATTTCCAACTTGAGCGATCATGGTGCAATCATTTACTCTTTTGAACATACTCCAACATTTATTTTCCCAAGAACTTTTGATGAAATTATTTCAAACCTTGAACCAGTCCAATGACGTCCTGTCTATCTTGCGAGGTTGAAGAATGGATAGAAGATACCTTTTTCGGCCTTTCCGCTTCAAGTGTATTAATCTTTTTATCGGCTGATCTTATCTGTGACAACATTTGATCTAGAGTTTCCTCTGTGAATTCCTGGCTAGCCGAATTCTCTCAGATAGAGTCAATATTATGAGCCTCATCAATGATGATTACAGAACCTTCGAACGATAAATTACTGCTTGCCCTGGCTGATCCGTCTATTAAATAATTGTAAGGCATCAGGACTAGATCAGCATTTCTAGCTTGATTTCTTTGGTAAAAATAAGGTCATATTGACTGGGAACTTCCAAGCTCATTTAGTTCTTCAATGTCTCTGATCACTGATTTATTTCTTCTGTTATCTTTGAGGAAGACTTCTATGTTATCTTTGTACTTTCAAGAAACCCTCTCAAGCCTTCTTTCTTTTATAGTAATTTCTTTCAAGCTTGATCAATAGAGTCTTCTGAATCTTTAACTTCAGGGTTGACTCACATATTTGTTCGGGATGCTAAAATAGCTACTGAAGGATTATAGCTTGTATTCTTAACCTCCTTGATTACTTGTGACAACTGAGTATGAGTCCTAGAGCAAAAATATACCCTTGGCTTATCCATATTGACAACATCTCCAGGACGATGTCCATAGAAAAAGTGTTCTTCATCTTCAGGAACTTTCCTGTTCTCTTTTTCCTTCTTCAGCCATGCCATGGCTGCTCAAATAGAGCTGAGTGTCTTACCAGTGCCTGTTGGGGACTCTAGCATCGCATTCTTCTTTGTAATTATTGCTTCTATTAATTTTTCCATGTATTTCTTCTGAATATTGTACGGCTCATAAGGAAACTCAACATCAACTTCACCTATCTTAATCTTCATTTTTGTTTTAATTTTAATAAAAATGCGGGGTTTTGGGGTTTTGGGGTTTTGGGGTTTTGGGGTTTTGGGG